AAAGTGTCTGGTTATCCTACATCCCACAAGCATGACTGTCTGAGCTTGGTTGTTTTCTTGCAAACGTTTCATTACCTGGCTAGGTAAGATCTTCAGTGCTAGGATGTGCAACATTTTTTTCTTTTTTTTACTCCTTTCCATTCCCTCTTCCATGCAGCTATTACAGATCTTTAATTTTTTGCTGTATTGGATAATCCTTCATTGAACTATCTTGGATAATTTGTGGATATGACCAACAAACCAAAATGTAAATGGACTTTAAACCAAAACATGCAACCACTTTGCTCCTTCTCTCATGTGAGTTGCAATTAAACTAGTGCAGGTTTACACAGGGACTACATCCCATCATATGTGACAAGCGACTCACTCATGGAATACGCAGGGCCTGCTCCAAACTATCTTCTTGGTCCTATTTCCTCTTTTTAATTTTTTTTTCCTGAGTGGTTTTATAGTAGGTCTTTCAGACAATCAGAGATTCCATTTGCTGTTGAGTACTGTAGAATGTGTTTTACATTAAGGATATTACCAATGTTATTTGTGGAAGGCTACTGGGAATAGATGTATACTATTTTTATATGAGCAGAGTGGAGCTTTTGTATCAGAATTGCAGAACTGATTAAGTGATTATGAAACTAACTACTTCTGGTTTTCTGATGGAGGATGAAAGCCAACTAGAGAATGGGCAAAGCATCACGAAACAATGTGAGAGCATGAGTTGCTTCTTCCAAGGAAACAGACTGCTGTCTTTAAAGATCTGTATCCAGTGTGTAGGAGCAAAAGAAGTACAGTTCAAATATGGGTTCATTCAGAAATGGGATGTAAACAAACAAATATAGCAGTGATTAAAGCCTGTGCTGCAGGGCTGTTATCATCAAAATCATGTGATCTTTTTAGCATCTGCTACTTCTCCTGCAGTTTCACTATGTATGCTCTTTATCTTAATTATATCTGTTCATCCTTAACATTCCAGATAAAAAACCCCTTTAAAAAAAAATTAATACAGTTTAGAGGCCACTCAACTCCAAATGACTCTGGGCAACTCATACTTTAAAAAAAAAAAGGAACAGCAAAGTGACAGATCATAAGTGTCCAGAAAGCAAACCACATCTT